GTGTTGAGTATTCATTAGAATCTATCTTGCTTTTGATTACAGATATCAGCTTGCCAAAATCAGCAACAATATGCTACACAGCTGCACTGCTGAAAGCACGAGCTGTATCAGACAAGTAAGCACCTCATCCCTCCTTCCTGCTATAACCCCCTTCAGCCCTGCATCATTGTAATGTACCGGATGTCTCTGCATCTACAATTATGACCTCTTGTGCATCCTAGATTTTATAATTTATCGGTTAATTCCTTTGCCTTCAGCTGCCTGTCTCTAACTTTTGGAATTTCCTATTTGTCTGCAGTTCAACCTCTCTCATCCTTTACGATGCTTCTTAAAATTACTTCTGTGACTGAGCATTTGTCCTAACATCTCCTTAATGTGCCTCAGTTTCATACTGAATTTCACAGTCGAGTTATGAAAACAAATGAGATGTTTGCTACCAAAAGCTATCTGAGTATAACATTGCTACTGTTGGGACTTAAAATTTAAAGAATTAAGGAGCTGACCTTGTTTTGGGAAAAGTTCAAATGAAGATGTTTGTAGAAGCGAATGCCAACAAAATTGAAAAAGCATATGAGAACTTGAGGTTTTGCTGAAGTTAACTTTTGAGTTCTGTGTCCCCTGACCATTATCCTGGGAGTTCTGGGTTATCAGTCCAGTGACATACCACTGCATCACCCACACCCCTCCACACCCCTGAGGAACCTCAAAATATCCAAAGCACTTGACAACCAAGTAACTACTTTTGAAGCGTAGTCATTCTTGTATTATAGGAATAAAGTAATCAGGTTGTGCTCAGCAAGGTCCCACAAACAGCAACTAGTAATTGACCATAGCATCTACTTTCAGTGAGATTGGTTGAGAGGCCCAGGGCATTAACAGTCATGGTATCTTTTATACCCACTCAGAGATTTAGCTGGTGCCTTGTTTTAATATTTTGTCTAACATCACTCACTTATATTGCACTGTAGTGTCAGTTTTGATTAAATGCTTGAATCTTTGGACTAGTATTTGAATCTACATCTGAGTGAGGTGTGAATCCTACCACTCAAGTCACAGCTGATATTCTTGATGACAGGAGGAGATAACTGAATGAAGTAAATTATTAAACAGTTTGAGGGCTGTGCAGAATTTATTTTGTTTCTAAAAAGTGACTTGAACCTGTATTGTGACTTGGCAGGGAAAAGTTTTTTTCACCCAGAGAGTGGTGAGCCTGTTGAATTCTCTGTCACAAAGTAGTTGAAGCCAAAACATTGAATGTTTTCAAGAAGACGTTAGATACGGTTCTTAGGGTTAAAAGGATCAAAGGGCATGGGTAGAAAGCAGGAATGAATATTGAGTTGGATGATCAGCCATGATCATATTGAGTGGTGGAGCAGGCTTGAAGGGCCAAAATGCCTGCTCCTATTCCCTCAATTTGTGTTTTTCAGGATGTTCAAAGTCTGCCCAACAGGTCCCCATGTTCACCAACACACCTGTGGCTAAATAATCTGTTTTCAGTGTTGTGTGAGGGATAAATATTGGCGAAGACATCAGGGACATTTCTCCTGATGTTTGAAATAATGCAGGAAAACCTTTTAGGTCCACCGTGGTCCTCTCCAAAAGCCAAAGTATCCAACAATGTGAAGAGCTACCACTCATCCATGTGAGCATAGTTGGAGACTGTGGATGCTTTGCTTCCGTTGCACTGAGAAATTGCTCAGTTCAAAAGGAAAATGCAGGCAACTAAATATAACTGAGCATCTGAAGGTTGAAACAAGGACTTGATCTCCAATCTCTACACTGTGGGATAATGGGAGGCAATTTAAGGACACTCACAGTGTATTCGCAGCTAGTGCTGCGGTGCATTTGTAAGGCTGAGTTTTACTTGGATAGTACATTTTTTGACACAGTGACCCCCTACTCTTTCCCCTCTTCTTTATTCCACTATGTGGGCCTCTGAATTCTTCATGCAGAAGTCAATGTGTTGGCATGCACTGGACCTCTGAAAAGCTGCATGACCATTGATTGGCCTGCACCTTCAGGAAGTACTGCCATGGAAGGAACAAAGCGAGGTAGGTCGGTAATCAGGAAAGCCTTAGAGTTCATCTCACTTGAGAACAGTTTTTCTCCAATAGAAAACAATGAGAGTAATGGTTCTTGCAGTTAGCACTCCATTGCAGAGGAAGGAGCAGAAAGAGAAGTACAGATAGTAGAACACTCAATGAGGAGTACAGACAGGCATTTCTGATGCCCCAGAAGTGACTCCGTGAGGCCAGGGCCACAGATTTCACTGGCTACTGATAATGGCATACGATTGGATGTTGTGATTCACACTGGTACTTAATGGCATGGGTAGAAAGAGGCATGAGATCTATCACAAGAATTTAGGGAACTAGGTAGCAGATTGAATAATAGGACCTTTAAAGGACCTCTGGATTGATGAATAATGAATAGGTGGGTCAAGCAGATAAATGTTGCTAACGAATTGGTGAAGGAGTGAGAGCTTTACCTCCCTGGATCGCTGGGTCCATTTTGGGAAAAGGTGGGATCAAGGCGCAAGGGAGCTTGGCAAGGTTGAATGACATTTTAGTGCATGAAGCCTTGTAAGTAAAGCAGATGAGCTGAGGGTGTTGATTAAGGCATGGGGATATGACTGTATATCAACCATGGAGACGTGGTTAAGGGAGGGGTAGGAATTGCAGCTCTACTGTGGGGTATCAAAGCTTTAGGTGCAATGGGAAGGGCTGTCAAAAAGGAGATGACGTTGCAGCATTGATCAAGGAGTTAATTACAGCACCAAGGAGGGATGATATCTTGGAAGGCTTCTCAATTAAGCTCATCTGAATAGAACTTAAAGAAAGTGGGCAGTAACATTGTTGGGAATGTATTATTGACCGCTAAACTGTCAGAAACAGACAGAATATTAATTGCGACAGACAAAGTGTCATCGGCTTAGAGGGAGGATAATTCTTAAAACATTTTCAGGAGAGCTTTTTAAATTAGCGCATAGGAAGTCGTACAAGAGATGGGGCAGTTCTGGACCTAATGTTAGGGAACAGAATTGGGCAAGTAGCAGAGATGTTACTGAGAGAACATTTCAGTCATTGAAACTATGTTATAGTATGGGTTATTTGTCATCATGAAAAAGAACATACCAGAACTAAAGGTTCTGAATCATTCTGATTGTAAACTATCCCAAAGCATTCTTTCTAATAACTTTTTACTGAGGTTAGACTGACTAGACTGTAATTTCCTGGTCTGTCTTTCAATGTTAGCTGTCCTCTAGTCCTCTGACACACCACCTGTGGGTAGACAGGATTTTGAAACTTACTGCCATCGCCCTGATACCTGCTCCTTTGCCTCTCTCAACAGCCTGGGTGACATCTCATTCAGGCTTATAGATTTATCCACTTTTAAGACCGCTAAACCTTTAATTACTACTTTTCTCTTAATGTTCATTTATTCTAATATTTCACAGTTCTTCACTCTGAAGCATTCAGAGTCATAGAGATATTCAGCACAGAAACAGGCCCTTCGGTCCAACTCGTCCAAGCTGACCAGACATCCTAAATTAGTCTAGTCCCATTTACCAGCATTTGGCCCATATCCCTCTAAACCCTTCCTATTCATATACCATCCAGATGCCTTTTAAACGATGTAATTGTACCAGCCTCCACCACTTCCTCTGGAAGTTCATTCCATATATGCACCACCCTTTGTGTGGAAAACGTTGCCCTTTAGGTCCCTTTTAAATCTTTCCCCTCTCACCTTAAACCTGTGCCCTCTAGTTTTTGACTCCCCCACCTGGGACAAAGACCTTGTCTATTTACCCTCATCATATTATAAACCTCTATAAGATCATTCCTCAGTCTCAGATGGTCCAGGGAAAATAGGCCCAGCCTATTCAGCTTCTCCCTAGAGCTCAAACCCTCCAACCCTGGTAACATCCTTGTAAATCTTTTCTGAACCCTTTCAAGGTATTTTGAATAATTTTAATATGAAATACGTAAGTGATTCATGATATTAAATTTTGTTCATTCTGATAATGTACTGGCTCAGAAACTGACAGGGCTTTTTGAACTGTTAAGAATTATTTTTGAATGGTTGAATTGGTTGATTTTGCAGGGTGTTGCAAATTACGCATAGCATGGACAGTCCAAATGGCCCAATTCCTGGGTGTTTTTCTTCCTGCATGTATTCATCTCCCCCTATTAACATGTGATTTTATTCCTTAATAAAATGAGAAAATGTTAGGGAATCTCAGCAGGCCTGGCTATATCTGTGGAACGGGAAACAACATTAGTGTTTTGGTACCAAAGACTATCCTATATACCTCAACTACTCCATGTCCTAGTGTTCTCACCAGCAGCAGATTTTTTTCTCTCTCCCCCACCCCCGCCGAGGATGAATTGCTAGAAAGTGATATTGGAATGGATGACTAATTTTTAATTTGTTTTTCTTTTACTGACAGTTCAAAAACTCTGGGCTGAAATGATGACTTTCTGTGCTGTAAATATTCAATGATTCTAAGGATCCTTGCCATTGTGCCTCCTACCTGTTCCTTTGTAATCTCTCCTGGACTCCAGCAGCTGCGTACTGTCCATACCCATTCTTGAAGTATACTTCTCCATTGCCCCCACTTGCAACCTCCTCTTTTGCACCCCCCACACCTGCAGTCTCCCCCTTTTTCCCTCAAAACCTCCTTGCAGTCATTCCCTTCCTCCCTCACACCCTCTTGCAGCCACCTCCCTGCTCTGAACTGGCTGACATGTCAGCAAAAAGCTAGAAGAATAAAAAGGAGGGCATAAACCATGTTTTGTGTGGTATAATGCTACACGCTAGTCAAAAGTGACATAATCTCTAAACAAACAGAAGAAGCACTGCAGACGATTCACTAACAATGGTATAGATTTAGGGATATGTGTTAACAGACAATAGCATGATGTATAACTCTTTTGAGTTGACTTCTGTGGCAAAATTATGAAGACGGCTCTCATATATTTGATTTGTACTTCCTTGACGTTGGAAGAAAAGGGAATTCTGATCCAAGGATTCAATAGGATATGTACGGAAAAAAATTTCTTCCAGTGAAATCAAGAATCAAGAGAACATAATAAAATTAGGGCAATTCATGAGTACGATCAGGATGCATTTTTTCAGACAACGGGGAAAGGAAATGTTCCTTCTCCCACTCCCCTGCAGATAAAACTATGGATGTTGGACTGGAGCAGCGATTGTTGGGTGGTTGAGAGCAAAGAGGAAAATAGTTGGAGCTTTCAAAACTGAGGGGGTTACTTGTTTAGTTAGGATTTTAAGACGTATGGAGGCAAGGGACTGTATGGCTCCTACCTCAATCTACTATTTGAATTCATGTTCACTGATCCAATCTTTTAAAACCTTTCTCAACAAGTCATGCATTGTAATGTGTGTCACTGCTTTCATACAAATTATACTGTTTGTGTCATCTGACAGGGATATTGGAAGAATTAACACAGGAATATAAAGTAGAGAAACGATTTGAGAGTTTCAGAATGCATGTGTTGTCTGTGCAGTGTAAATGGCTTGGAGCCAGTTCAAGGCCGTTGCACATTCCTGGCCTTCAGATGCTGGTTATAAATAACTGAAGCTCACTTTCACAGTTTCTGATCTCAGCTGAATGCCCTAGATAGTTTGGAGTATCTTAAACTACCTATATTTTCCATATTGTTATAATACTGTTAATGATGGTACAGACAATCATGTAGTGACAACAGTAATTTGCATTTATGTGGCACCTTTAATTCAAAAAGACTTCGTTCAAAGGATGTGGGGTCACTGGCCAGTCCAACATTTATTGCCCATCCCTAATTGCCATTGAGAAGTACTGCCGCTCTCCTTATAATGTACGTGCATGTAAAATATTGTTAGGGATGGAGTTCCAGGATTTTTACCTTGCAAACCTTTGAAGAAATGGCGATATAGTTCCTGTAGTGACTGTTCCCATCTGTATTGCTGCCTCAGCTGTGTACTTTGCACATGATGCTTTGAATGCTTGATGAGTAATCTAGTGTAATGGGAGGAGTAAAAACAAATGAATAGTAAAGAACATTAACTAATAGATGGTCATCTACTAGATGTGTGAAAGACAAAGTCATGCTTTGTAACAGCAAGTTGCCAGCTATAAGATTCAAAGAATGTTGAAAGTCACTTTTGTTCAATTCTATTAGTTAACATGTACTAGTCTCTAGTTGAATTATTGCTGTGTACTTTGATTCCAGGCATCTATTATGTTTTATGTGACTTGTCCAGATTCCACAATTTTACATTTTACCCAAAAGCCAGTAACCATGCACTTAAGGTGAGATGACTGAAATTGTGATCAAAATGATGATTCATGCTTTAAAGGGAAAGAGAGAACTTGTCTTTTATTGCTTCATGCGATGTGGGTGTCACTGTTTTGCCAACATTTTTTGCCCATCTCTAGCTGCTCTTGAGAAGTTGATGGTGAGCTGCCATCTTGAACCACTGCAGTCCATGGGGTGTAGGTAGACCACAATGCTTTTCGGCAGGTAGTTACAGAAATTGACCTAGCTGTGGTGAACAAATTGTGATTTGTTCCCAAGCCACGATGGTGTATGATTTGGAGGGGAACTCGCATGTGGTCAGATTTCCTTGCAGCTGCTGTCTTTGGCCTTCTGGCTGATAGAGGTCATTGGTTTAGAAAGTGCTGCTCAAAGAGCCCTGAGGATTCACACTACTGTCACTGCATCGGTGGTGAGGAAGTGAATGTTAAAGCTGCTGTATTGGTCAAGTGGGCTGCATGTTTCTGGATGCTATTAGGCTTTTTGAGTGCTGTTCGAACTGTGCTCATTCAGGCAAGTGGAGAATATTTCGTCATTCTTCTGACATATGCCTTGTAGATGGTGGACAACTTTGAGCCAGTTAAGAGGCCTCTGATTCCTTCTTGTTATATTTGTATGGCTAGTCAGGTTCTGCTTCTGATTAATGCAAACCCTCAAGATGTCAGTAACTATGTTTTTGAGAATGGTAATGCCATTTAAAGTTAAGGGGTAAAGGTCAATTTTTCTCTTTTTGGAGAAGGCCATTGGTCTGCATTTGTGTACCAAGACTGTTACTTGCTCCCTATCAGTTCAAGCCTGAATGTTGTCCAGGTCTTGCTACATTTGGACGTATGCTGTTTCAGTATCTGAAGATGGCTGAATGCTGCTGAACACGGTGCAATTATCAGCAAGCATCCCCACTTCTGACCTTTATAACGAAGGGCAGGTCATTGAAGCAGCTGAAGATGTTTAGACCTCGGACACTCCCCTGAGGCAATGTGGTTGATATGCTCGGACTGAGATGATTGCAAAGTATTCAGTGTCCCTGAATGGGTGATAGGGTTAATTAGAACTGATGGAAATACCACCAAGCTTGCGGTATTGGTATGTGCTGCTGTGATAATCCGTGGCTGTAGTGACTTGGTCAGCACCGAAAACAACATCACACAGCAATATTTGATAACTATCTTGCATGTGGCATTTATGGTAGAATCTGTCATATATGTATTCATCTCTTCAGGCATTGGCTCAAATGTACCATATAAATCTATCCCATCTCAAATAAATTTATTGCTTTATCCTAAGAGTAACTGTGGTGATTGATGACTACTCCTCCACTAGTCTTACCCACATCCTAAGAACAATTAAAATAAAATTGCAGGTGACATTTTTCAGCAATCTTAACAAATTTCTGAGAGAGATTTTATGAAGGTCAAGAAAACTGAACAGAACAGGATGTGGAACATCAGAAGTGTTTGAGTGACACAGTGCAGGGCTGGGATTTGTAAACATTGAGACGAAACTGTTAGGTCAAATCTACATCAGCAAGAACAGCTATTTGTTAATGAACATTCTGTTTCCTTGTGTTATCTTCTGCTTCCTCTTTTTCAAGGTTATCTTCTAGTTTTAATATAAGATTCTTCCTCTTGTTACAATGAGATGTTGTGCATTTAGATTCTAACTTAGTGACTTGAGGCCTTGATTTTAGGTTTAGTCTTGACTGCACATCTGTTGAAGACATACATAGATTTGCATTGAGTTTTATATGGAGAAAACAGGCCATTTGGCCCCACAGGGTCATGCTTTTGTTTATGCTACACTTGAACCTCTTTCCACCATACATGTAATTCTACAGCGATACTTCTATTCCTTTCTACCTCATGCTGACCTTGCCTTCCCTTAAATTCATTTCTACTATTCATCTTAACATCCATGTGGCATCATGTTCACATTTTTCCTCTGTGGTTGAAATTTCTCCTACATTCTATTGGGTTTATAATGGCTATCTTATATTTATGGATTTTGGTGTTGTGAAAAGTTGTTTTAGACTTAAAGCATTAACTGTTTCTGTCTCCGCAGATGCTGCCGTACCTGCTGAGTATTCACAATGCTTTATTTATGGTCTGTAATTTTAATGGCAACCACCTCCTTCATAACTTCAAAGACATCTGTTGGTTCACTCCTCTGCCTTCTCTTTTCTACAGAAAAGAGCCCCAGCCTGTTCAGTCTTGCACAGGTCAAGGAGAGTGAGATATTTATTTATGAGGGCTGCACCTTGAATTGTACACCCTTGGTCACCATCTGGAGGAGTGGGTTTTCCATTAAAGTTCTTTATTTGTTTCTGCCTGAATGTAGGTTCTCCCCAGAAGCAGCCTCTCGGCGAGGGCTCAGTACAGCAGAAATGAATGCTGTGGAAGCAATACACAGGGCAGTAGAATTCAATCCACATGTGCCAAAGGTAAGAGTCTCAGACATACTTGGTTCAAATTTAAATTATTTAATTTTATAGCACCCTCCCATCCAGAGCATTGTAGGTTCAAGATCACTTCCAGAGATGAGTGCACAGTTTTAACTGCAGTGTGAGTGCAGCACCATAGAGTACCATTTGTGTGGCTGAGGCATTAAACTGTAGCTCTGTCTGCCTATCGAGGTTGACTAAAAAAGATCCTGTGGTACAGCTTAGAAAAGAACAGAGTGGTTATTAATCCTTCAGTGTGGAGATGATTACATATCAGTAGGTGGATTACATTGCCTCCTGCTGCCGTCTTAATCACCAATGCTGGGAAAAACTGGACTAAAAGTCAAACAAAGCAACCTATAACTTCCACAGTATCTGCACTCCTCTCCTGATAAATTAGCTTGTGAATAAAACGTGGATTGATCAAATTATTTGGATTAAATAATATACATAAAATAACATAACAAGGAGGGATGTGATGCTAAGAAATGTTACTATCAGAAACGCTACTGTGTGATAATTTTACATTTTCCATTGGACAGACCCAAATTTTATACAGATACTTGAATTAAGCTATCCTTTTCGTGTAATGTGTGTTGGTTTGTACGCAAATTGTCAGAGTGGAGCACAGTAGTGCCAAATGGAATAGGGAGGAACAGTCCTCCTTACCCTATTCTGCTGAAGGACGGCCTGGAAATGGGAGTTAAAATTGGAGAGATACAAAGTCAACAAGTAGAATTGATATAAAATTAAACAAAGAATGCAGATGCTGGAAATCCAAAACAAGAAGAGAAATTTCTGGAGAAACTCGGGTGGTCTGGCAGGATCTGTGGAAAGAAAGTACAGTTAATGTTTTGAGTCAGGTGCCTCCTCTTCAGTAAAATTGACAGTTGACTCTGAATGTGTGTATCCTGCTGGCAACGTATAGCCGTAATATGGAGTAAATGCTTCAGTGCACTGGCTCCCTGGGTTCCTTTCACTTCTTGTTGCTCATGCCTATCAGATTCCCATGTAGGTTGGATCATTTTGATCCATGTGGCTACATGGTTACCTGGGAGATAAACTGTTTGAGTTGCAATCCATACAAAATACAACTGCGTCAATACACATCTCATTGACATAATTCTGTGGAAAGATTTTATGAATGAAATGAAAAGTGATAGCACAATCATCGTTTGTCTCATAACATCCTTCTGTACTGCATTACTTTTATATTCAAATTTAAAAACTAACCATTTGTGTAAGTGTGTTCACACAAAGAGTAGACGTAGCCTGGAACTTCCCCAGAGAAACATAGCAAAGGTACTAAACGTTAAGGAATCGGTGTAGGGAGGTGGAGTTGAGATGCAGATCAGTCAGGATTAAATTGAATGACAGAGAAAACCCGAGGGCTGAACGGCATGTGCTTATTTCTATTTTCCCAAGTGATATATTAGTTTGACAGCTTAAGAACAAGTTTATATATGTAGTTTACACGAATGGTCTCTGGGTGAAGTGCTTGACACATGTGGAGCCGTTCAGTCTGTCCTTGATGGAGTTTAGAAGGATAAGTGGGAATCTCATTGAAACTTATAGAATACTTAGAGGCCGAGATAGAGTGGACTTGGGGAAGATGTTTCCGCGAGTAGGAGAGACTAGGACCAATGACAGCCTCAACATGAAGGGACGACCCTTTAATACTGAGATGAGGAAGAATTTCTTCAGCCGGGGCAGGTGAATCTGTGGATCTCATTGCCATAGCAGGCTGTGGGTGCCAAGTAACTGAGCATATTTAAGACAGAGGTAGATAGATTCTTGATTTGTAAGCAGATCAAAGATTACAGGGAGAAGGCAGGAGAACACGGTTGAGAAACCTATCAGTCATAATCCAATGGTGGAGCAGACTGGATGGGCTGAATGGCGTAAATTTGCTCCTAAATCTTATGGTCTTCTACTATAAACATTATCACATATTACTGTAGAGGTATAACAATACCCAGTGAGAGCTTACTGAATTACTTGCAGGGTCTGTCCCAGTTATCCCCTTTGTTGTAAAACCCACTTCACCCGAGAGCCACACTTGCTGATTTCCCATACATCCTGGCCACCATTATTCTGTCAATCATCCTCACTGATACAGATTATCTGATCGTTATCACATTGCTGATTGTGGGATTTTACTGTGTTGAAATTGGCTGTCACATTTTCTATATTACAACAAAGCTTACACTTCGAAATGGTTCATAGAATGCTTTAAGTTGAAAGGTGCTGAGGTTGGAAGCACTTTAGAAATGCAAGTCTCTTTCTATTCAAGATGAGCTTTCCTCAAATTCATTTTTTGACTGACGGATTTTTATTACTTTTCTGTATGTAAACATGAATACTCACAATAACATTTTTGTCAGTGTTCACAATATCTTATTCCACGTTTTCAAAATTGTTGGTAAAACTCTGACCACTGTATTTCAATTAAACTGACAGTTATGGTCACAGTCTGTGTTTTCCAGACTATTTGGCTTTATCTTCTTTCTCTGTTTTTCCTATTCCCTTTGGGTTTTACTACACAATAATGAACAAATGAAATTTCACAATTACTTGAAAAATCCACAAAATGCAGAGCAAATTATTAGCCCATATGGTGCTAATCCCTTTAACAGACCCTGTTGATAGCGATTTAAATTGCTGCTGTTTTGCGTTGCAAAGCTGATTCACTTTGAAGATTAATCAGCGCGAGTGTTTCGACAATAACGTATGAGTGTGTGGTGTGTACCCAAGGAAACTGGATAAACTGACGCCTCGAGGACTATTTCTGACAACGGTTCATGCAGGCATCTTGCTTCATTTTCAATCATGCCTTTGCATAGTTTAAAACCTGATGCCTTGGGGAAAGAACAGGGTGTTTTTTTAACTGAGGCTTTCACCTCCGATGGGAACAATACGTCCTGTAAGGGAGGACTAAAATGAAGAATCAAGTAATTGATAACCAAAATTGTCATCTGCTAAATTCAAACTAGAATTTCAATCTCTTTTTAATTTTAGGAAGACTAGGTTCAAACTGAAATGATACTTTGAACTGAAACGGTTGTCCATTTTTTGTGGACTCCATGGCAAAATTGGGACAGAAAACCGATTCCTAATTTTCAGTCATGTTCCAGCTTATCTATTTTCTGGCTTTTGTAAGCATTCTCGAGTCGAGAAAGAAAATATTTAATATAATTTTGACAATTTCTCAATAATTAAAATGAAAATATGAAAGTGAAACATGAAACTTTTGACAGGTATGGAATTCCCTGTCCAAGCTCCTCCTCTTCCTCATATAAAAGCAAAATAGTACAGATGGTGAAAATCTGAAACACAGAATCCTGGAGAAACTCAGTAGGGCTGGCAGGTTCTGTGGCTCTGTTTTTCTTTCCACCATTGCAGTCAGACCTGCTGAGTTTTTCCAGCATTCTATGTTTGTTCCACCTCTTCTCCTCCTTTTTAACATCATCTTCAAGAAGTCTTTAGTCGTCCCTCCCAATACCACTTTGAATTAGTGTCCATCTTTGTAAGAATATACCTCTGTGAATATACCTCTGATTTTTTTAATATATTCCCAGCGCTGCTTAAATGCAGTTTTGTATCGTGCACCATGACAGCCAAGATACAAAATTAACTAAGCTAAGGAAACAAAGTAGTGGGGAAAATTAGTTCCATAGACCAAAGGAAAGTGTTGCATCTGGTTTTGGGGTACCAACCACTGGCAGCTTGTGGTTGGGGTAGTTTGTTGCTACTAACTGATTCTGAACAAGAAGAGGACCTTGGTTTGTTTGTTTGCATGATAGCAGGCGGGTACAAGTTACATCATAGAGCTAAACATTGTTACTAAGACTATGAGGGGACCTGTGGATGAAGGTCTTCATTCCAATAGATCATAAGATTAGCACTCATCTCCACTAACACTTGTGTGACATCATCAAGTTGAGTGGAACTTAATGCAACATTGACCCCTTCAGAACCGTTACTTTATGTATCAGAAAGTATACTGTAGGTTCCCCTAAGGATGACATTTCAAAACATGTTAACCATTTCATAAAACTGGGAATTGTATTGAACAGTGAGGATAATAAAAGATTTCATGAGGACATAAAGACTGGTGAAATAGATAACAGAATTTTGCACTGAATGACAATGCGTTGCTGCATTGAAATTTTGGGGAAAATGTCAAAAAGAAAGAGTCAGTGGAGAAAAGCTCAGATAAATTAAAACATGACTTTGATAGATTCCTACATTCGAACCACAACCAGGTCAGGAAATCCAGTGCCTCAAATACTGCCCCACTCCCTGATTGTTGCAAGCTGTGCCTTCGACAGATTTTTCGAAGTTAAAGGTATTTGTTCATCTGATAAGTAATTGTAGAAAGCATGTGTTTCCCAGTGTACAAGCGTGTTTAGACCATTTGTATGACTGAACATGAAACAACTTGTGGCTTTATTGATTGCTTGCTATGTTGTCCAGTTCACTTGTGGTTTGAATATAGTGTCACATGGGAATCCACAGAACATAGAGAACATAGAACATAACAGAGATAACATGTGCTTTTGTTCCTCATTATAATTCAAATAACTAAGCATTGCAAACTGAATGAGTTGAAACTGGAAAGCTGATAAACATTTAATGGAACAGATATGAACCATTTATCAAGTGTGCCATTTGTGACATTGACTTTTGAATGCACATAATCCAATGTCAATGTTAGGAGTAGGAATTTAGGTGATTGTCATTAACAGGACATTGATAGACATCTTCACTGTCCTTAGAAACTGGATGAAAGAGAGGACGTTGTATCTTTTCCATTTTTGTTGTTCTCCACACTTATTGGGTGATATCTCTCATTGTGTTAAGTACAATCCTGTTACACACTGACAGCATTATGGATTGATTCCCCTTTATGTTAAGATTTCTTACTCCCCCATATCTGCAAGTGTCTCGGGTTGCCCTAGTCTAACTGTTAGTACCTTTTGTACTAGCCCCCAAGGATT